TGTTTCAGTTAAGTGTGGAAAAACTTAAACCAATTTTTACAATCCTTTATTTTCTTACATTTCTGACTACATGCTTATTAACCAAAATCCTTAGCAAGTCGATGCAATAATATACGAATCAGGTTTGAAAAAATGTTTTCTATATTTTGAGATTCAGACACACTGTATTTTATTTACGATTGGAATTTAGGCTATCAAATGAATCACAAAAACCAGATGTGATTTTGATACCAATTGTGAATAAAATAAACGTTGTACTTAAGGCTCGTGGATGTAATACATATTATTCAAACTGATGGCCTTTGGTATGTTTTTTACAATTGAGCCATAGATGTGATATATGTTCTTTGGCTTCCTTAAATAATAAAAAGTACAAACACATCATGTTGTTTCATTTACACAGAATGAGGGTATGATTAGGCTTGGACTGGCCAGGACCTAGATACAGAATAGTAAAAAAAAGTGAAATAAATAAATAGGAGTTTGACAAGTGGATTTTCTACTGGTATTTTTTGTTTACGGTCATATTAATTCAGCGCCCCAAATTACCCCAGCCGTTTTTACTCTATGGCACAGGTCCCTGGCTTGATGGGGCCCCCAAACCCTCAAAAATCAAACGAAATTTGAGAAAAAATGTCTGAGTATGCCTCCCGCACGGGTATTACGTATACTGGAAAGTGACGTTTTGACGTATTTTTTTTGACATTTTTTTAGGTTTTTTGTGACATAACGTAGGTTCTCCTACAAAATGTCAACTTAGCACTAGCTGCTGTTCACTTGTTGTGAACTCGTTTCGTACCTGTACGTGTTGCCTAATTATTATGCTTCGGCTATCAATGTTTGGCTATGAAGTAGGTAATATCTGCATTATTGGAGGTATAAGCTGTAATAAGTTGTATACTATATCTGGAAGGAAACGGAAACGGCAGTGCATAGTGAGGATTTGTGTATTAATAATCTGTGTTGATGATATACTAAGTGACATATAAATCCGAACACCCAGTTTAAATGGTTTTATTTTAATAAAATTTTGTATATGTAAGTACTTAATGAAGCATAATAAGTAAATGATAAAAATTTCAAAATGATTGCACTGCTTTAAAGCCCTTTGACCTTTAATAATGTGTGGATGCACCCTGATGTGCTACGCATTCTCCAACGCGCCTAGGCATGCTTCTGATCAGGTGGTCAATGTCCTCCTGTGGTATCTCATTCCAGGCAACCACCAACTCCTCCCGAAGTGCTTCTAGAGTCTGAGGAGGACGTTGCAAATTGAGCAACCTCCTACCCATCATATCCCACACGTGCTCAATTGGGGATAAACGGGAGATCTTGGTGGCCATGGTAACAATGTGACATCATTATGTTGAAAGAAGTCTATTGTGACTCTTGCAACATGTGGTCGGGCATTATCTTGTTGGAAAGTTGAATCTGCCAGGGTGTCAAGATAGGGTAAAAGATGGGGTTCTAGAACTTCGTGGATATAACGCTGCGCGTTCATGTTACCTCTGATGAAGATTAAAGGTGACCTGGAACCATAAACTATAGCACCCCCAAACCATAAGTCCAACGGTGTGATGAACATGTCTTTCAACAAAAAACTGTGGATTCCTCCTTTCACCACGTCGCCTTCTAACACTGGCACGACCATCGTGCATGCCTAAAGAAAATCGAGACTCGTCACTAAAGACAATACTGTTCCATTCCTGATCCCAGAGTGACCGTTGTCTGCACCATTCAAGGCGATTACGGAGAAACGGTCCCTTAAGGCCAATAATCTTAGGCGGCGATCTTCACGGTCTGTTGTTCTACGGCGGCGTCCAGTGCCCCTTGCTCTTTGCGTACGGCCTTCTCGAAGCGATGCCTGACAACACCTAACCACAGTGTCTACACTTCTTTGCACTCTAACTGCAATTGCCCGAAAAGAAAGACCAGCTTCCCGAAGTCTCACTATACGGCCCCTATCAAACTCACTAAGTTGACGAAATCGTACAGGTCTCCGTACTCTAGGCATCGTAACCGATCGTAAAGGATGTCAAGAACCAAAATCCGCCAACGTTGATTCTTTACTGCGGCTGAAATATTCATTTTTAGGGCGTTAGTGAATTAAAAAAAAGCAGTATAAAAACCGGAATGTCCAACTGATAAGGCTGAAAAATTTTTCACTTGTTATTTACAGTAAGATAAATACATTCACCAACTTTTATTAAAATAAAACGATTTAAACTGGGTGTTCGGATTTATATGTCACTTAGTATAATTCCATTCGTTTCTTGTCTCAAATACACTTACTTGAGATGTATTCAAATAGAAATAAGTTGCGCTTGCGCATCCACTCTTATTCATTATGTCAATTACATGCACATTTGCTGAATTCCAAAGATGAAAGATTTAAGAAAATCTCTAGTCGGTGAAGTAATTAACTTTATGTGGAATCTTATATTTTATACATTCATACTGCCACATAATGCAAATATATTCACTGTACACTAACAGTAATAGCACACAATGCGGGCGCGGTGGTGATTTCCTGTAATTCTAACCAAAGTTTTTGAAAACACAAAAAAAAACGAGCAAAAATCGCAATTTATAACTTTGAACATAACCTGTCTTCAGAAACGACAACATATGAATAACCCGTCGGGCACTGCTAACAATTATCCATATGCGATCTTGCTACCCAACTAACTTTCTTTCTACAGCCATCTCAGAGATAAACACTACTTGCCTTTCTGCAACCAACAATGCATTCTTGGGCGTGTCGTGTCGTTGAGTCATTCCTCCACAGATTGGCTTTTGATAACGATCATAGAGGCAAACGTGAAATGAACTATTTGCATACGAAAACCTATCTAGCCTGCAAGTTGACATTTTCTGTTTTTTTGAGTGTTTTACCTAATACCCCTGCCGCTCTTCAATTTTTTCCAACGCCAAAGTAAGTAGCCCAGAGCTTCCTGTGTGCCTTACATCCTGAAATAATGAACTTTGCAATGAGAAAATTTTCAAAATTTTTGGGTATCTGTGATTAGGAGGAAAAGTCAAGTCAGTCAAATAGGCCCATATAATCATTTTGAAGATCGGTGCAATGACGGCGGAACCAAAGAGAAAAAACGAAGGAAATGAAGAACGCTTAGAATATTTAGGGGTTGAAAGTTGAGAGTTGTAGTGGGTGGGAAAGGGAATAACTAAATTTTTTTGACGTTGGTATATTTATACGTTTTCTACTCCGGTAATTCTCCGCACTTATTTGACAGATGTATATTTTGAAACCTCATAGATTTACTCTAAATACCGAATCACGGAGAAATATTTTCAACAGACGCGTCTGTGATGGATATAGGTGCGTTTTGCGGTCCAGCCGATGAGTATGTTTCGCAGTCGGTAGTCGATGCCGTACTGTCATTGATTGTCATCCACGCGATATTAGTCATAGCAACGACCAAGTGCGCCCGCAGGAGTTTTTCTGAGCGGAGAGGGTCATTCATTTTCAAGTGATACCGCAAACGATTTTTGGGGCTGGTCATTTTTTAACCTCAGTGGAACTTCTAGATTTTATCCTATTATTGCTCCTTAAATCCATTGCGTTCTATCTGATCAAGGCCAGCTTGAATAAAAAACATGGAAATTGCTCAGAAATCCCCAGAAAGCCAATATTTTATTATATGAGAACAAAATAAGTACGTGGCATTTATAGATAATAGTATAATAATATTAAAGATTCAAACATAAAAAAACTTCATTGTTCTGTTAACCGACAAAAAATAAATAAAACATTCTGAGGGACCCCGAGACATATCCCATTCCATTCCACACAAAACAATGTCTTTGATTGCGAAAACGAACATGAGATCGCGCGCCCCCCCCCTCTAAATCCGCCACTGGTCGGAAACGTCATTGACTCAAAAATGACGTCTTTATTAACGCCATTCTTATGACGCCAATAAGGGGTCCTTTAAAAGGTTTGTCATTTTGACGTCTTTTTAGGACAGTTAGTACTGAAAAATCAACACAAAGAAATTATAGAATTTTGATAGGTATGCTAAATATGTTTTATTCCCGTAAATAACAAATTTATTAGAAACTCCTCTGTATAACAATGAACAAGTTTTACTAGAATATTTTTATTGGAATCGAACGCGGTGAAAATTCGAATTCAGCTGCTCTCTCCTTGGATCGTCATCTACATTTCCAAAAAATGCAAACTCAGGTTCTGCTGAGTCTAAGGGCCGTATCGTCAGTCATTGCTCAATTGAAGACGCCTTTAAGGCCTCCTTGATTTTCATAGCCTTTCCTCTCCTTCAGAAAGGCTGGGGTATTTCTAGATTTCTACTCTGCCGTATCAGCGTCAGCGCTCTCCTAGTTGTTTCCTTTTTAATAAATTGACAGGGAACAATAGAAAACTATCAAAATCAAGGAGGCCCTAGAGCCATCCTACAATTATTGTAGGCACGACCTAAAAGTTTGATATATCCATAATCACATAATTTTTTAGCACTAGCATTCTGCCAAGGAATATCCGTCACGAGCCCACTGCTTTATGCTAGAGCTATCCTTGCGAATAAAAGCTAATTGAACTTATAAGAGCCCGAACCTGCCACTGTAGAGCTTTTTTATAAGGCCTTCTTGACCCTCTTTACCCAACGTCACCGCCAGCTATGACTTCCTACCGGCTTTGAACATCGGCGGTTTCCGGCGCAACCGCGTCTACACGGGGTAGTTTTTGTTTTTGTTGCGCCGAATGCGCGTGCGCGTCAGTGCCCGCGGCGCGCCCTAGCCAACAGCGAACACCTGTTACTCGCGCCATTGTTCGCCGAAGAGCCGGCTAGATCAGATCGTAATTATAATCAACGCGCTGCACTCAGTGAAAATGTCCGAACAAACAGCGAATAAAGAGAACAACGTCGAAGAGCAGAAACCCGCTGCGAAGGCCGAAGAGGTGAAAGAAAACGGCACCGGAGATGCTACGCCGGCAAACGAAGCGGTCGAAACAAAAGAAAAAGAAGCACCTCCGAAAGAAATGCGTGCCGTCGTCCTCACCGGTTTCGGGGGCCTGAAGAGCGTCAAAATCCTCAAGAAGCCGGAGCCTACGCTCAATGAGGGCGAGGTACTCATCAGGGTGAAGGCATGGTAAGTTTGAACGTTTAATATCGGAGAGCGGAAATAAAAAAATTGAGGAATCTCGACGGTTGCCAATAGTTGGCGTTGGAATCTCAGTTTGAAAATTCGATAATCCAGACGCATCTTTGCGAAACAGATGCTGGGGATGTTGTGAAATTACTCAAATATTTCAGGCTTCTAGTGTAGCTAAATTCTATCAAATGAAGATACGGAAACAGTTAGTAGTTACTGAAAGTGATGATATTCATAGTTTTTTTTTTGAGTTTTTTGTACAAATGTCTTGTCTGCAAAGATGTTTTCAATATTAAAGGAAGATATGATTTTGTTCCTGGGTATTTATATTTTGACTGGCCATATTTATGTTTTGTTGATATAATATTATCTTCTGAGTGTAAATTAGGTATATGAAAATATTTTGATCTCATTTTAAAGATAACGAATGTTGTGCTTCTATATATGAATACCAAAACAAATTTTTCAAGTTAGTAGGTAGTAAAAATGTCAGTCTTGGGCACTTTTTGAATTTCAAAAATTCTTAAAACTTTTGTTTTGAAATCGACCTTACATTATCAAAAGACACCAGAATGGCATACTTGATTATATTGAATGTTTTTATAATTTAAAGCATATAATATACAGGGCGATTCAGAAAAACGTTGCCATGTTTCTAGTCCATCTAAAAAACTTACAAATATTGTAGCCTTATTTAGGAATATTTTCATTTCTCCAGGGTGATTCATAACTGAATATGATTTCTTTTTAAATGGAAATGCCTACATTTTATCACAGATAGTCTCGATTGAGTACTGAATTTTTGTCAGGAAAATATTCCATATTTTGTCCCAGTCTGCTTACAATTTTAGTTTTATGGATTGTTTATACATGGTGGCCCAGAACTCAAAATGGACAATTCTTAAAATTTTTAAATTGAACATTTCTTGATTACTCTTTTTGCAAGTTGTATTTTGATGTAAGGCTTTGGAGGTTTGTATAACTAGACACATCTATATTTTTTGCGAATCAGATATCAAGTTATAATAAATGAAAAATGTTTCAACACCTTTCAATTAAAAAATAGTATGTAGTTGGTAACTGGAGATCTTTAGAATTTTTGGTGAATTTTCACTATAAACTAAATCTACCCAGCCTCATCAATACAGTTGAAAATTCAAAATGCGCATAAACCTTGTATCAGAAAAAAATATTTGAAAATTGGAATCAAAAATGTAAAAATATTCAGAATGCTCCACGTGAAATTTTTGAGCTTTTGTTCATTTTGCCTTATTGATCACCCTGTATAAACTATCAAAGAAATGGAAAAAATAAGGAGTCCGTATGTTTTCGTCAAAACGACGTTGTGAATCACCCTGTAGATGTAAAAATATTTTCCAACTCAGGAGCAGATTGTTGGCTACAATGTTTGTATTTAGGTTTCTCACTCTTAAAAACCCACCCTGTATATCCCAAATATCTCATTACCACGATATAGTAGTCAAAATGGTTTGGTTATGTGCTTATTACCTACTACGTGTATGATTATATCTTTATACACATTCTGTGAATCTAATTTTTTTCGATTTCAAAATTAAAACTGCCTCGATAAGGGAGTATTTTTGGACCTGTGTTTATTGTGTTATTTTGGACTTAAATTCCACCTCAGAAATATTGCTCTGATTTTCTGAATCGCCCTGTATATTAATTACACTTGACCCTTGACTGAAATTGTTACGTAATTTGGGCAATATCTAAACGAAATGAGTCATCCCACACTCAATCATTTTCCAGAAATTCGTAAGATCGATCGCATAGTCATGCTCCATCGCTTCTATTCAACTGTTTCCTCCCGTCGCAAATTGCACGAATGGGATGGATTCCTTGATTAATTCATTTGTTTCGCATACAATATTCAAGTGGGCCGCGAGCGCTTCTGATATAAGGCCGATGTTGAAAGCAACGATTCAGCAATGTTTCACCGAGAATTTCAATTTCTGTTGAGACGATTAATTTTTCTCATAGTCCAATTAACGCGATCCCGTTTAATTAAAGTCCTGAGAGAATAATAAGCAATGTATTCCTCTATTTCTGGAGATATTCTCGCGATGATAGTCACGGCATATCTAATACGACACAGCAACACAACTTAGGATACGGGTTCATGCAATATTCAAAAGATAAACGCCCTTTTATTGTAGAAAGGTTACAGTACCCATATTATATTATCTCTATGACGTGTAAGACCACTTTTGCAAATATTTTCGATCACCTGATGCATATACACATACAGAGTGTCCCACGTAGAACTGCAGCGTTCGATTTAATTCGAATGATGACATAATACAGTTATGAAGTATTAGTGACGAGAGAAATTCAATTAAAATTTCATCAAAGTGGTGGGACCGCAAGAGGATACCACCTTGCTTATTTTAAATAGAACACCCTGTATGTTATTTAGTTTTCTATGAGGGATTCTAAATATATTTCATGTATAATAATAATAGCTTTTACTCATGTCAGCCTCGCGGATATGAAACGTCAAAATACAATGAAACAAAGTTACGACAAAATCGATACAGTCATTAACAGAATAATAGCACTTTTCTACCAAAAATGCTTGCACACGTTTTTTAAAAGACTTGGTAGGAACTAAGGTTTGATATCATTAGGTAGATGATTGTATATTGTATCTTATATCTAAATATGTCAAATTTTCGCAACTTTTTGGAAGGAAACGACCAAGCAACGAGTAGCCTCTTCAATTTATTCGTACATTCTCTATAAATAATAAAATAATCCACCACTAATAATTTATGTATTTGTGTTTGTATCTATCATATCGGTATCGTAAAAACGTATGTGAACTTTCGATAAAAATGTAAACGATTTCTTTATATCCGTTGAATTTTTCCACTTTGTTGTATTCGTTTCGATTTATCTGCAATTGCAACAACTATAGCTGCACATTTACTTTCGAATAAATATCAAGAAACAGAGATAATACGAGATTTATTTTAATATTAACCGTGAAATCCCGATACAAACTGTAGTTATGCGGAGGATAGTGTGAGAAAATATTTGTTTTGATTAATAAAGCTTCCAGTTGAATCGTCGGAATGACCACATTATACAGGGTGATTAGGAAAAGCGTGCCGATATTCCTAGAGTAGAAAGTACATCTGTAATTAACAAAGATAGTTCCTATAAGGGTATTTAAGTTTTTGTGTCAAATAAGGAAAATAGACTATTTTGTTTCCATATTCATTCCATTGTAAATACTGACGAATCACAGTAAATACTGATTGACATTCACTCGCAATCAGCTTACGTACATTGTGATACTGACTGATAACAAGTATGATTTTCTAGGTAAACGATACATACTTGTTATGAATGAGCTCGATGATTCACAAATGTATTCAAACCGTGATTTCAACTAGAACACAATATTTCCGTACCGCAAGCTTATCAATATTCTATATGATTCACTGCAAGGTCCTTCGCAATTTGCGTCTGAGTTATTCCAATGTTATTTTCACACCTGGCTGATTTTTATATTCGCGGTTTATTCTTTTTAGATCGTAAAACGGAAAGAGAGGAATCCAAAGGAGGTAGTAAATGTCGTCTCATGAGTTACGATTTTTCAACATTAGGGTAATTTTCTGATCATCCACAGTATTTAAACCCCGCGGTATAAAGGAGGACAATGTTAAAAATCACGCGTTTTGTGGGAATGAACTCAACCTAGAGAACACTATTTTTTATACTCCACTTTAAATTTTTTTCACCGCACATCTATTGCAATCATATTGTCTGCTAGAAAACGGTGTCAGGTAGGCAGGCTCGATATCTCATATGCAATAGCTTTATTAGTGAACGAAGAAAAATACTTAAAAAGGATAAGCGATGTTTCCGGCACTGAAAACACGTTTCAGTTTGAACGTAATTTTAAAATGTTTGCATTTATATATTATGTTCCAGCAATTTTTTTATTTTAGCTTCTGATTGTTCTTTAAAGGCCCACAGTTTGCAATTTTGGCATTTTTATCCAAATTTTATCGATTTTCGGTATACAATGATCCTTTTATAAACTAATAATTCAAGCAGGATAACAGCATTTCGTAGGGAGTACAGAGTCAATCTACTTGATGCCAATACCAATATTCGCATAACCTTGCTTCTCTGAATTTAATTTAATGAGGACACTTTTTAAAGCCGGCCAATCATTATCTTCAAGAACGATAACAGCGTTTCGTAGGGAGAACAGAGTCAATCTACTTGATGTATTTGCATAACCTGGCTTCTCTGAATTTAATATAATAAGAACAATTTTCAAAGTCGGTTCTATATTCCCTGGCTCGTTTTATAAACCAATCATTGGCTTCAAGAATACAGAGTCAATCTACTTGATGCCATTTTCAATATTTGCATAATCCAGAGTCTCTCAAATTGATATAAAGAAAACAATCTTCAAAGCTGTTTCTGTATATCCTGATTCTTTGATAAACTAATCATTGTCTTAAGAACGATAATAGCATTTCGTAGAGTGTACAGAGTCAAACTTCTTGATGCCTTTTAATATTTTAATAACGTGGCTTCTATGAATTTGATATAATGAGAACAATTTTCAAGATGGATCTGTATACCCTGATTCTTTTATAAACTAATCATTATCTTAAAGAACGATAACATCATTTCGTAGAGTGTACAGAGTTAATCTACTTGATGAAAATACCAATATTCCCACAACCTTGCTTCTCTGAATTTAATTTAATGAGAACAATTTTCAAAGCTGTTTCTGTATATCCTGATTCTTTTATAAACTAATCATTATCTTCAAGAACGACAGTATTTCGTAGATTGTACAGAGTCAATCTACTTGGCGCCATTACCAATATCGGCATAACCTGGCTTCTCTGAATTTGTTATAACGAGAACAATTTTCGAAACCTGTATACCCTGGATATTTTATAAACCAATCATTATCTTCAAGAACGATAACAGCGTTTCGTAAG